TTAGATGTATCTAACTATAAATATTATTAACTTTCTATGTTTAGAAGTCTTTTTTTTAAAATATATATTTTATGGTTTTTATAAATTAGTTGTATTGAAAGAAATATAATTTATGAAAAAATAATGTAATAAAAGAAAATATTAATATCAATTCATATTATATTCAATTATATTCAATTATTATTTCTTTAATATTATCAATTTATTTCGTCGTCAATATAAATTCTAATTAAAAAATTCTAAATTATTAATATAATATTCTTCTTTTTTTAATAGAATTTTTTTTTTAATAAATCAGGCTAATTTTTTTATCTTTTACTTTTTTTAGATGTATAACTAATATATTGATATATTAATTTTCTAAATTGGATAGTGATCCCTAGCATATTTTTATTGAAATTTTTAAATACTTAGAAAGATAAAGATTCTTCATTTATGATAAATATTTTTCTATTAACAATATTTGATTCATAAACAAATAAAATAGTTTTTAAGTTAATCTGCCCAGTTTAATTAATATTAACAAATATAATTTAATTATATTAAAAAAATTTTTAATTGATTTGTATTAAACTTTCTTTCTAAACTATTTCATATATCATTTTTTATTTTTTATTTACATTAACACAATTTTTTATGTGGCATATTTGAATTGAAAAAATATTTAAAAGAAGGAAAGAAAAATATTTAAAAGAAATTTTTTAATATACAGAAGGTACATATTCAGAATCAATAATAATGATGTCCTTGAAGATCTAATGATGATATCAAATCATGACATTTCTTTCATTCGTTGTATTTCTTTCATAAATTTAATAAATAAATGAAAAAATTACCCAATAATTAATATTTTAAATGAAAAATAATTAATTGTTCTTGAATAAATATTTATTTAAATATAGTAAAAAAAAATTAGTTACAATATTTCGCAAAATGTTTTGAGAAATTATCAGAAATTTTACTTTTGATATCGAATACATTCAATTGCATATTATTACCATATTTTAATACGACAATAATTTAAAACTAGATGCAAATGTATATGCATGAATGTCATTAGAAAATAAAAAGATCGTCATTTTACATCGATTTTTTATCTTTAAGAAATTTACAATGTCCTTTTATATACATGTTTCTTTCATTTTTTTTCTATTATCAAATTTATTTCAAAGTTTATATACACTTATATACATATATATACACATACATATATTATTATATAATCTTGATAGTTATATTTTGTTATAATATTATTTTGAACAATAAAATATAATATTTTATTAAATAATAAAATTAAATATAGAAAAAATAAATTTTTATTGTTTAAAGTATTAATTTAATGAGCATTTAAATACTTTCGTAAACTAAATATGAGTCAATTTCTAGAATAAATTTTTTAATTTATAAGGTTGCATTTATCATTCCTTTAAATATTAATATTTCAAAAGTATGAAGGAAAATATATTTATATTTATTATTATAAATAAATTGTTATTTATATTTATATTATATTAATTCGAATAATATATAATATTAATAATANTATTTTTGTAATTCGCGCTTAAATTTATATTGCTTAGTTCAGACATATTAAAGATCGATAAAACATATACGTTGCACCACGTTATAAAGTAATAATATGGAAAAATGGCTGCATGATTATTTATTTTTCCCTTTTTTTCTTCAATTTTATGTCTTGTACATAAAAATTTATTTACTTTTGTATTATTTAAATTTATGATTAAAAAAATTATATAATGTTATAAAATGTTGCATTATCCTCGTTTAGGATTTTTTTATGAATTGTATTATTTTTACTCAATTGGATTGGACAATAGAAATATCAGTACAGATCAAATTCAAATTATCTTTTAATTAAAAAATTTATAACTGAATTTGAAATTAAATAATAATACTCAAAACAATACAATGACAAAATTTAATTTTTTAATAATGCAATTTTTGATTAATATCTTTTTAAATATTTTAATCTATTAGAAATAACCAATAAAATTCATATTCTTTTCTTCTTTTTATATAGTGAACTAGGCTGTGTGAATCGTGTAGAATATTTGGAAGTGTGAATGGCTCTTTGTACTTAGAAGTCGAATTTCTGATGCAATATTCGTTAACAAGACGTGAATGCACTGTATAGACAGTACGAAAGTATTGAGACCCGCGTGATAAAGATGCTAATATATATTTGAAAGCTAAGCAAATTAATAAGATAATTGGAGACACCAAAGTATTTAGAACAATTTTCAAAATGACTGAAGAAGATTCGGTATGTAATAATATTAAAATTATATCTTTAATAGAGAATTTATGTCGTATTGGAAAAGCATGGAAGTATGATTATCTTGACATACTTCTTGATTTTTTAGTTTAATTTTAATATTTATGAATAAAAAATAAAATTTAAATCTATGTAAAAGAATATTTTATAATGTAATTTTTATACAATAAGAAAAATGCCACTTTATACATTCCAACCTCAAAACCATGTGGATAGTATTCGAAAAAATGTACAAATATATATTTATTACTAATATATTATGATAAATATTTTATTATTTTTATTGTAATATTCCATTCATTATGGATATAATATAATATTACATTTAATCTATGAAACATTTTGAAATATATTTAACATGATATATTTAAAAAAATTTATTTTTAAATTTTTACGAAAATAATATATTAAATTAATTAATATAATTAATATAATTAATAATAGTCTTTTATTATATTAATAAAGTCTAAATTTTTTAAATATAATATGTAAAATAATAAAATATAAAATTTCACATATAATTATAATACATTCATATGATAATGTAATAATTAAAAAAATTTATAGGTATTTGATCCTACTTTGAAAAAGAAAAAGAAGAAAAAGAAAACTACTTTTGATCTTGATGCAGCATTTAATGAAAGCAGTAGTACTGGAGATATCTTAGAAAATACTGATAAAGAAAATCAAGAACCTGAACCTTCTGCACCAGCTGAAGATGACGAAGCATTGGATTTAGAAAATTTTGGAAGAAAGAAAAAGAAGAAGAAAAAAGCATTTAATTTAGATGAACTTGATGCAGCTTTGCCTGATGCAAAGAAAGAGGTAGTGCATATATAATATAATATGTAATTGTGTATGAAATTATATTTAATAGCATATATTTATATATATATATAACATATATATAATATGTTATTTATTATAATTTATATACTATATAACATAATATATATTATTTATAATTTATAATTTGGAAAGGATATTGTTGAACAACAAACAGAAGAAGTTATCGTGGATGACACTTTTGACTTAGATATGGACTTCTCAAAAACTAAAAAGAAAAAAAAGAAAAAGAAAGATCTTGATGAATTAGTAGCTGAAGAAGAACGTAAGGAAATTGAAGATAAAGAAAATGGTAAATATTATATATTGCAAAAATATCATAGTTTGGGGTAACTAGTTGTTTATGTTACACATTATTTGTTAACATGCTGTACTGAATCTGAGCGAAGTGCAGAGTATGGTAAGAGATATGTATTTGATATTTTCTATAGTTTCTTAATTTCTATGTATAATCTATATATATATATAATAATCATATTTATATAATAACTACTTTTATATATCATAATCATTAGTTTAGTTTCAACATAAAATAAATTATTATTTCTCTTTGTTATTATATATTTTCATCAAGTTAAATGATAATATGAAAAAAAATTTTGAATAATAAGATTGTGTATATATATATAAATTAAAAATAAAAAGATTTAATATATCAATCAATAAATTTATTAAATCTTTTATCATTTTTTTTTAATGTATAATCATATATTAAATTAATAGAATATGTTATAATAATTATATTTCTTAATAGAAGAAACAAGTTGGGTTGGATCAGATAGAGATTATACTTATGACGAATTATTGGTAAGAGTATTTAATATTATGAGAGAAAAAAATCCAGACATGGTTGCTGGTAAAAAACAGAAATTCGTCATGCGTCCTCCGCAAGTAGTACGTATAGGCACTAAGAAAACATCTTTTGCTAACTTTACGGAGGTTAGTTTTATAATAATACTTGTTTATTTAAATACTTGTTTATTTAAAAATTTTTAATAATTTATGAATTGTAAATTCTTTTTTTTTTTATTACTTGTTTTACAATTTTTAATTGTAGATATGCAAAACTCTTCATAGGCAACCAAAACATTTACTCGACTTTTTACTCGCTGAATTAGGAACTAGTGGTTCTGTTGATGGAAATAGTCAACTTATCATTAAGGGTCGTTTTCAACAGAAACAAATAGAAAATGTTCTTAGGAGATACATTAAAGAATATGTTACCTGCCACACTTGTCGTTCTCCAGACACCATTCTTCAAAAAGATACCCGACTATTTTTCTTACAATGTGAAACTTGTGGTTCAAGATGTTCAGTAGCTAGTATAAAATCTGGTTTTCAGGTAATTATTTTTAAAAAATTTTTAAAGCATTTATAATTAATTTGATACTTTTAAAAATTTTTCTAATAATCAATTATTTGTTTTAGGCTGTTACAGGAAAACGTGCAGCTATTCGAGCAAAAACTGCCTAAAAAATTTGTCATGTATCACGTTTATCAATTTTGTAGCATAATTTTGAAATTATCTGAGATTTCTTGTGTCAGAACGCAATTTTTTACAATATCTATTATAATGGTGTGCAATTTGAACATTCATTTTTTTACTTATAGCAATTGAAAATGATCGATTAAAAAAAGAAAAAACATTGTAAAATTTATTGCACAATATTTTTTATTAATCTGCAACAAACAAACAAAAATTATAGAAAAAATTATTAATGAAAAAATTTTTTGGTTAAATTTTTCAAATTTACCTGCTATTTTTAACATTCTTATCTTTATTTTTTGGGTTTGAAGTCTTTAATATACCATTTCTTCTTAGAATATATAAAATTATATGATTTAACATAATTTTAACTTTTTTTTACGCATTTTCATTATTTTGGCAATAATCGTTTGAAAAAAAAATAGCTATACAGTTATATTGTACACTATTTCAATGATGGGGATAAAATAATCATGATAATACGATATGTATTATACATTTGTCTAGCATTGTGACATAACATCCTGTATAAAGAATTGTCTATTAAATATAAAATGGTATGGATTACCAGTTGTTAACAATAGATTTTAAGCTGGTAATAACTTGTTATATCATTTTCTGTATACAAAAAAACTATAACATTAAATTCGAGTACATTATTATGCATGGTGAAAAGTATTATTCCCATAATTATCTTTTTGTGAAAAATATCATGATAAAATATAATTTTTTTTAAACGATCAATAGCTAACTTTACTTAACTAATTTATTCAATTGTATTTATTAGGTAATAAATTTATTTTAAGAAACTTTATTATTCTTCTTATGTTTTTTATTAATAATATTTGTATTTTTAAAATAATTTCAATATTACATAATTAATTTGCAAATCATTAATATTTAAAATTTTTTAAATATTTAAAAAATAATTTTTATTTGAATTATTTTAATGCAATGCACTGAAATATCATTTATAAAATTATGCAATTTTAATAATTATGTGCATATAATGATTAATATACATATATATTATATAATAAATTTAAATAATTTAGTATTTTTATGTATTACACAATACAATAAAATTATAATTAATTTTTTTAATAAAAAAGAATTTCTTGAGAAGTAAATTATTAAATAAGTAATTAAATTTTCGTTATATCAATTTCATTTTTTAATTTAATTATTTTTTCCTTAATATTAATAGCAGTATCTATAAAATTTTGAAATATAGAAATTGGCATATTTGGCATTGGAAAATCCTTGAAAGGAATCCATTTTCGTGTGCCATCTTCACATTCTTTCAAATATACTGGTTGTGAAAATACTAATCCCTTTGGTATACCAAATGAACCTAAAAAATTTAAAGTTTTATTTTATTCTATGATTTCCTTATTTTATATTACCATCAGATGCGATTCCCAATGATATAATTTCATCTCCAATGCTTTTTTTTTTGCTATACCATAATTTCAAAAGATCACAAATAGCTCTACATTTTGGAAAATCTTCTGATCTGCCTACTTGATATCGAACAAGGGCCTAAAATTCATTATTTTTCATGTATAAATTATAAAAAAAATATATAGAAGAAAATAACAAAATTCTTACATATACCTTACGTTTAAAATGATTTTTATATGGATCTTTATCATGTGACATGTAAAAAAACCATCTTAATTCTGAATATTTGATTCTAAATGGTATTATAGTTTTATTTGAATTTAAAGTTTTTTTATGTGGATAATATATATCATACTTTTGAATCATATGATCAACATCTACAAAATGATTGACTCCTATAATTAAATTTAGTATTAATATATATGTATAATAAGATGTACTAATAACAATATATCATATTTTTTTTATATAAATATAAATCAACCTAAGAAACCCCAAATAGGTGGACAACCAAAATTTTGATGAGTAAGACCGAATGAATTCACAAATGTATGTATAAGTTCCAAACCATAATGAGCACTAGCAACTACAATATTTGTACTTGATAATTTTGTAACAAGTTCAAGCATAATATTAGCATAAAAACATGGAAGACTCATTGAACAAAATATTATCTTCATATGTGAAGGTGCATATTCATTTATATATGCAGATAAATTTTCTATAATTTTATAATTACGTTGCAACCAATTGTCTGTCCCTTCATTATCTTCTCTAAAATATGCATATATAAATATTAACAGCATTTATATTATAATTACAATAATAATTATAATAAATTATTTTTATAATAAAATTTATTATTTTTTATTATAATAATAATAATAATAATAATAAATACCGCATAAAACTATCAAGATAAATTAATATATCACAATTTTTCAATCCATCAGGAATACTTTCCACGATATTTACTGTATTTAAACCAGCACCTATTGTTCTTGCATCTTTAAAAATTCTCCTAAGTTTAAAAAAACATCCTGGTTGATCATATAAATTAATAACAATTCCATGACTCATCCAGAGTTCTTTTGTCATTAATAACTGAGATACAAGATCTGGACACATAGATCTTCCTGCTCCTATTATCATTATTCTACGACATTTTTCTTGTACTTGTAAATTTTTGCTTTTTTGTCTTTTTACATTATGAGCCTTTATTAAAAATTTTATTTAAAAAATTTAATAAATCTGATTAGAATTATATAATATAGATAATTTTTCTAAATATTTTCATACAATTAATAAATCTGCTTGTAATGCATCAAGTTCTTCTTTATTTAAATATGATGTGATGTTATAATATTTATGCAACAATTCCCAAAATTGATAACTACTTCCAATATAATTTACATGAGTTTGACTAAGTCCAATTTCTCTCCATATTAGAGGAGATTTAGTGTGAGTCCATTTATAAAGTTCACAAGTTTCTTTTAACCATGACTAAAAATAATTTTTAAATTGAATTGCATTTATAAATAAAAATATAATATTAACTTACTTCCCATTTTAAAGAACTTTTACTAATACTTCTATAATGAAAATTTGGTAATAATGTAGATAAACTTTCAGCAATAAAACATATATGATTAAAAGTAGGATCTTCTAAAATACCAGCTATTACAGTTAAACATCTATTTGTCATTTTGTATTATTAACAATTGAAGAGCATTTAATATTTTTTTAAAAATTTTTATAAAAAAATATTGACAAAATATATTTGTAAAAATTTATTAAAATTAAATATATAATAAAGAAAGCATAATGTATTAAAATTTTATTAAATTATTAAATGATACTTTATTAAATTATTTGTTTTATTTTTAATTTTTTTTTATATAATAGATCTTAAATATATAAATATTCAAGAGCCAATTATTAATTAATCAATTTTGAAAATTTTTTAATTTTAATGTCAGAATATATAATTAGTATTCAATTTTTAAAAATCAAGTAATTAATATAAATAAATTAATTAAAGTTGATTTTTTATATGCTTTAGATATATTTTAACATAACATAATTGTTCTAAATTATTTTATATTATTAAATTATTGATAAAAAAAAATTTTAAACTAAATGAACATTTTTATATTTAAAATTTATTATATTTCATATTTAAAATTCATTAGATATTTCTGGTAAATCAGGAATCTTATATTGTATCCACTCTTCATCAAATATAGGTGATATACATAATTTTGGTATTTCAAACTTAATTTGCTCTTGATCTAAATAAAAAATTTAAAATTAAATATATAATACATATATAAAAAATACATAATTAAATGTACTATACCTAATTCAAATTCATCTTCATAAGGTACTATTTTATTTTCCTTTTTTTTAAGTAATTCTTTAAATTCATTTTCTATATCTTTAGTATAAACATCATCTGTAAAAATATATTTAAATATTTTTTTATATTAATTATTTAATAAATTATTTAATTAAATTATCAAATTCATTACCAAATTCAAATTGCATATCACAATATGGTGCTAGATTTTCTGGTTCAGAATATAATTTTTTAATATGATTTTTTAAAAGTAATGGCTTTTTAAAAATATTTTCATTATATGATAAAGGTGATTTTACATGTTCTTTTTTTGGAGATATATCTTTTCTTTTTATAGAAAATGTATTTAGTTTCTGTAAAAAATTAATCTTATTTATAAAATAATTATATTTTATATTTTATATTTTATTTGTAAAATTTTTTAACAATTCATACTTCTGATAAAATATTTTTCCTAGGTGATATTAGATGGCCATCATTATTTAATTGTGTTAGTTTTGGTTTTAACAATTCTTGTTGTTTGTTGAAAGTAGCTTGCACAGTTTCAGGTACATTTAAATCAGAACTAGATCTAATTGATAATCCTTTTGGTTTTGATTGACTAATATTCTTTAAAGAACCATTTATACCTAGACATGTTTTTGATCTTGCTAAAGGTTTTGTAGTTGAACCTAATTTTGGTAATTTTATTATTAATAATATTATATTAATTTAAAATAACATTTATAAAAAATAAAAAGTATAAATATTAACCTTTATATATTTTTATTCTTACCTTTATGAAATTCTGATATTTCACCAAATAAGTTAAATATATTAGCCATAATAAAAATTTTAGCGAAAAATAAAACTAAAATAATATTTTGTAAAAAAATAAAAAAAATATTTTGTAAGATAGAAAAATAATTTAATAACGTTTCAATTTCTTTAAGCTTTCCGTTTAATATGAACTGTTCTCTAAACAAAACTAGGGAAAATTGGTCACATTGAAATCTTAAATTACTAAAAGTTTTTTTAGGTAAAAAATAAAATATTTTATTACTATATCACATTATATATAATATACGTATATGTATACATATTTCAACTATATTTAAAACGAATTTATAACGAAATAAATTTTTTTATTGTTTTTTTTCATTTTATTTTTCCTATAATCAATTATTAAGTTTATATAAAAATGTATTTATTCATAATATAATTTATTAAAAGAGACAAACAATTGTCCATAGCAAATATTTCATTAGGATAAATTACATTGAAAATACATATAATATATATTTTTACACGTACAATGACTTATCAATGACTTGTCTTAAGGCCTCTAAAAATATAGACAACCAAAAGCTACCAACTGCTTACATTGGAATGCTTTGATTAAATTGATACAATAAATTGATCATATATATATATATATATATATATATATATATATA